TTACAAAAACTTCTCAAATGGAACAATATGACAGTTGTGAGAAACCATATGGTGTATATATACTGGTGTTGCATGAGGATAATTTTTGCAGCCTATTTTGTTGTGTATTCGTAAAACCTATTGTGCATGTGCCTTGAGACAAATTTAATTACAATAAATTACTTTGTATTTTAATGCCATTAATGCATCAATGCATTAAAAGTGAGGCTGCCTTCACGTGTGCAAAGACTCTTGTATAAGTCATCATTTTGCCATCCATGCTGTGTGAGATCATACTGGGGTTTGACCTTTCTTTCTCAGCTCTGTCTCTCAATCTTTCCATTGTAATGGCAGGGTGCACAGTGCCATAGGGACTCATTATTGTCTGATGCCCTCAACAAGTTCTATGCATGCTTTCAAGACCCGAACAGACCATCCAGCACCAGACTCACCTCACCACCAGAAAAGGAGTTTCTCAGCGTGACCTCAGCTGAAGTGAGGAGTACTTTCAGGAGGATTAATCTTCACAAAGCAACCAGCCCAGACAACACCCATGGGAAGGTTCTTAAAGAATGTGCCGATCAGCTCTGCGAGGTGCTGGCTGACATCTTTAACTCCTCACTCATCCTGGCAACAGTTGCCACCTGCCTGAAGATTGCCACCATCATCCCAGTCCCAAAGAGCTCTACAGTGACTGGTCTGAATGACTATCGGCCAGTAGCCCTCACCCCGATAGTCGCTAAATGCTTAGAAAGACTGGTCGTGACTCACATTAAAACAACCATCAACATCAGCGAGGACCCTTACCAGTGCGCGTACCGCGAGAATCGATCAACAGAAGACACCATCTCCTCTGTGGTCCACACTGCTCTCACCCACTTGGCGCAGAAGGGCTCCTATCTGTATGCTCTTTGTGGACTTCACATCTGCCTTCAACACCATGATCCCCCAAACCCTGATGGACAAACTATTCACACTGGGACTAAGCCCCATACACCTGGGTCCTAGACTTCTTAACAAACAGACCACAGTCTGTGAGGATCCATAGCTTCTCCTCCTCCACCATAACCCTCAGCACTGGTGCCCCCCAAGGCTGTGTGCTGAGCCCTCTCCTGTTCACTCTGCCTCATGTATGACTATACACTTACCCATCCAGGCTGTCATATAGTAAAGTTTGCCGATGATACAATGGTGGTGGGATGCATTACAAACTGATAAGTCCAGCTACAGGAAGGATGTGGAACACCTGGAGAGCTAGTGCAGAAAGAACAACCTTCACATCAATGTTAAGAAGATGAAGGAGATGGTCTTGGACTTCAGATGGAACAAACACACCTACCTCCCTTGATCATAGGAGGATCTGCGGTGGAAGTGGACTACAGCTACAAGTACTTGGGTGTGCACCTGAATAACAACCTCAGCTGGGGCAACAACACCAACAGCCTGATCAAGAAAGCTCATCAGAGACTATAGTTCCTCAGAGGGCTGAGGTGAGCTGGTCTGGGAAGGTAAGTCCTCACCTTCTTCTACAGGTGTGCAGTGGAGAACATCCTGTTCTCCAACATCAATGTGCGGCATGGAGGTTGCACAGCTGCAGAAAGAAAAGCTCTGCAGAGAGTGGTGAAGCTGCACAGAAGACTGTTGGAGTCAGCCTCCCCACCATCACAGACATCTACACCTCCAGATGCAGGAAGACGGTCACCTGCATCATGAAGGACCCCACTCACCCAGCACACACACACTTTTTGCACCGCTCCCCTCAGAAAGGAGGTTGTGGAGAATTAAGTGTAGAACCGCTAGACTGAGGAACAGCTTCTACCCTGAAGATTTTAGACTCATGAATCTCTAACCAGAATAATCACTGTGAAAAAAATCACAGTAATGCCACTTATGTGCTGCTGACTATCCATGTTGCTGATCTCATGCTGCTGATTTATTTCACTCTGTTGCTGTTCATTCGTACTCATCTGCTCACACAGACTCATGTTCGTGCTGCTGTTGTTTGGCGTATTGCTTTTGTACTATTAGTGCTTAGTGTATTCTTAGTTTAGCGTATTTCTTAGTTCATATCTTAGATCTTATTACTGTTTTTCTTTACAATTTACACTTTTGTTGGATGTAACTTGGTCCCTGTGTACACAGTTTTGTTCCACCACATGTACCACATGTGGTGCAAATGACAAATAAAGAAACTTTGACTTTGACTTGTAATCCTTCGAGGTAAAAGTGCTCAAGTGTCATCTTGACCCAACGTTCTTCCTCACTCCTACTTCCTCCTTACTCCACCCTACACACCCATCTCTCCCCACCCCATCCTGCTTTAATGCTCCCAATCCTCTTTGTGAGATGGGCAAGTGACGTCAGCTGCTGTCAGAAACAGAGTTAAGCTCAGCAGCCTCCAGGAACGCAGTGGAGAGAAGCTCTCAGCCTTGAGAAGAATCAAGCAGGAGTGGGCCACATTGGGAATGAATTTCTGCTGTCTATACCAGACCTGACTTTTTTTTCTGGATCCAGGAAGTATACAAGAAAATCTGAAATTGGTTTGCCATGACAGTTACCTTCATCTGAAAACTCCTCCCTTTGCTGAAGGGCTTTAATCTTAAGCATGGCTGCTGTCAAACAGGAATATGATATTTTCTGATGACAAGCAAAACATTTGAAAAGATCTTTAACTGCTCCTGATTTTTTGTTTTTACTTTGCACACTTGATTATTTTTATTGTTTTAGTTTGACTACAGCTTAGAATAAAAAAGATGGCAAGTAAACTTCTTTTTCTCCACTCAAAGCATCTTGTGCTTATGAGTGCATGCAAGTGAACAGCAAACTGATAGTGTCTCTTGGGATGTGCTAAGCTCAGTGTTTACTGGAGTGCAAGGTGTGATTCTGCACGTTCATGTGCAAAACAAGTGCTTGATTACTGTGTGTGAGAGCGAGAGAGTGAAAGGTGTGCGGGCTCTGTGGAGGGCAGAATCCTGGATTTCCCAGAGATGGAGGGTCATGGTTATGACCGGTTTGGAGACAGCGAGAGGGACGGTTACCAGATTGACTACAGAAGGATTGTGGGAGACATGGAGCCTTCATGGCCTCTGGTCTCAAACAGAGATGGAGAGCAGCCTCATTCCTTCCTGGCTCAGGCCCACCCAACATCACATGTGCACGGGCATGAGACTGCAGCCCAGAGATACAACAACACACGTATCCAAGCTGGATATGAACCAGAGAGGTCAGTTTTCACACAGAACCACGTTAATCCACCACAAACTTCAACTGTTCTGGTGGGATGATAGCGTAAGAACGTTCTAACCACGGTGTCTCTGGTAACACATTTTTCACTTTATATTAACTATGGCTGTTTGTTTTGAAGCCCATTTACTGACCTGGGCAGCTGACCAAATCCTCTTACCTGCTGCACCGCCGTCATAGACGGAAAGAAAGTGTTTCCATAGAAGGGATGTGCTCCTTTAGTTGGCAGTTCCTGTCTGTGCTCCTGATCTGGCCAAAGAATAAAGTCAAACAGAGGTCACGACAAAAACAAACATGGGGTTTGCACATATTTAAAAGTTATACAGCTGGCATATATTATGTATTCCTGCATTTTCTGTTAGTAGCTATGCATTACAGATTTACATTGAATGTGGCTACAATAAAAAATAAAAATAAACATGAAATAACTTAGATGTTCATAAAAGTATTAAAATTCTGCAGAAATATCTTGATTTATTAGAAAATCATGATCCACTTTAGTGTTTTAAATAATGATGAGAGGTAGAATTAAAGGTGCCATCTTGTCTATTGAATTGTCGGATGTGACACAGTTATACATGATGCTTTCATCTGTGTATGTATTGTTGATATTTAAGCATGGCTGACTACTTGATCAGTGGAGGCACAGGTTATGTTCCTGAAGACGGACTCACAGCACAACAGCTGTTTGCCATCGGCGAGGGGCTGACATACAAGTAAGAACTTTTTTCATTCTTCCTGAAACAAACATGCAGCTAATATGCTGAGACAGGTGCAAATCATTAAATGTCCAACAAAAATCACAGCCGTGCAAAGACTCCTATTTCTGTTAATATTTGCTGTGATGACAAGCTTATTGTTTAAAGGATTATTACGAGCAATACTACTTTCAGGGACTGAGTGGTTTTACAAACATAAGAGCAGTGTCCTTGTGTGTGTGGGGGGGTGGTGGTGGTGGTGGTGGGGAGGGGGGTGTTAGTGTGATAATGGGTGTCAGTGCAGTTTCCTTAATGGAGGCTATGTGTTGGGTTTATCCATGAACAGGAGGATTTCAGTTGGTTGGACTCATGATGGAGTCTTTCACCTTTTTTACGCTGGCTTGCAAAAAAGTGTGTCCCTCATTAAAACTTGATTTATCATCTAAACATATGACAGGGTTCCTTTAAGAGTGCATGAAACAATTTAAAAAGAAAAATTTGAAATGTTGAAATATTTTGAAAGCACTTCTCAATGTAAAAGCTGTGGTTCTGATATTTGGAAGTGGGGTTCTGTGGAAAAGTCATGACCCAGATAACTCTTGATCAGCCTTATGGAACCAGTTTAACTCTGACTGAAGACTGAACTGATGAACTATAACAGATTTGTTGAGTGTGACCATAATAATCTCAAAAGTTTCATATTAGTCCATTGAAACTCTGTTTTATAATTCTTTATTTTGCTCTTATATTTGTTTTATGTTGTTATTCCAATATTTTTACTGTAAGTGTCCCAGAATGCACCAGAGGTGCAACAGCTGCTGCTGCTATCTGTGCTTACAAATAATTATAACATAAAATAACTGGGAGGGTAGTTATTATGGTTAATTAATGTAATGCGTTATGATAGAAATATTATGATCATTTGGCCACGTCTGTTTCCTCTCTGCTTTCAGTGACTTCCTCATTCTCCCTGGTTTTATTGATTTCACTTCTGATGAGGTGGTGAGTGTTGTCAATGTAATAAACATTGTGGTGAATGTCAAATGTTTCAAATATTTATGTATTTGTACCGTATGTCTCAAAAATTAAATTATTATTGTTTAGTGTTTGAAAATTATTATGATTGAACTAATTGTTTGAAAAAAGGGGCAGATATAATAAGATATTTTCTTCTTTCTGCTGCCTTTCATTGTAAATCTCCTGTATTTTTTTTATATAGTTATGAAACTGTTTTGTATTTTTAAAATAAATAAACGTTATACTATACCATACTATTTGTTTTATTGAAGAAAAAAACAAACAAACTAGGAATCAACATAGATTTTTATTTATTTATTTTTATTACTTTTTTGTATATTATTATTATTTTTATTTATTTATTTATTTATTTCATCATTATTATTTATTTATTTTATATATTATGTTATTATTAATATTTATTTATTAATGTTATTTTATATATACATTTTTTTTTATTTATTAAAAAAATAGATTTTTTAATTAAAAACAGTGTATAATCACAAAATAATTTTTTGCTTTGTTCTTATTCTAAACTCTTATGGGACAATAAATTAATTTCTAGCCTGGGTCGCTGGTTGCTTGTTAGCATGTGTTCAAAACAGATCATCACACACCTGCGTCATTCACACTCAACAGGTGAATACAGCAGGTCTCTAATAAGTCCACACTTATTTTTAGGTTTATTTGCAACAAAAACATAATAAAAATATATACGGTGTACTAATTTGCAGTGCCATTATTCATTGATTCAGCACACTGTGTTGTACTTTTTAAAATTAAAGTTTTGTTTAGTGTGAGGCTGACATTATTGTTCATACATGCATCCTGTTTTAAAGGATTTGACGTCTGCACTGACGAGAAAAATCACCCTGAAGACGCCGCTCATTTCGTCTCCCATGGACACAGTCACAGAGTCATCCATGGCTATTGCCATGGCAGTGAGTGCAAACAAACATACATCATTCCTTAATATTCACTCATTAAACATTATTTTGACCTACATGTTTAGGAAAAAACATGATTTATGTTCCTCTCTTCCCATGGGTCTGATTTCAGCTGATGGGTGGGATTGGAATAATCCATCATAACTGCTCCGCTGACTTCCAGGCCAACGAGGTCCGGAAAGTCAAGGTAAGACACAATATAGGTGGATCATCACTCAAGACTGGGCTTCATCTGTTTAAGTAGCAACGTTTAAAAGCATTGTCACAACTTTTTTATTTTATTTTATTGTTTTTGTCAGAAATTCGAGCAGGGCTTCATCACAGATCCGGTGGTGATGAGTCCTTGTCACACAGTTGGCGATGTGTTCGAAGCTAAAAGACGACACGGTTTCTCTGGGATCCCAGTGACAGAGACGGGGAAGATGGGCAGCAAGCTGGTCGGCATAGTGACGTCCAGAGATATAGACTTTTTGTCTGAGAAGGACTATGACAAACATCTGGAAGAAGTAATGTTTTTTCTAAAAATGACACGTTTGTGAGAACTAAAGTAATGAAAATCATAATCTCATCTGAACATGTTGGTTTAGAAAACAGACAATCCATAGTTCATTTGTTTGATCCAGGTTATGACAAAAAGAGAAGATCTGGTTGTTGCGCCTGCTGGAGTTACACTAAAAGAGGCGAATGAGATACTGCAAAGAAGCAAAAAGGGTAAATCACAAAGGCCGTGGCATTCTGACAGAGTTCGTTTTACTTTTTACTCATTTTACATTGTTTGCTTAGGAAAACTCCCCATTGTTAATGACAACGATGAGCTGGTTGCCATTATTGCCCGAACTGACTTGAAGAAGAACAGAGATTACCCTCTGGCTTCCAAAGACTCTCGCAAACAGCTGCTGTGTGGCGCTGCAATCGGTACCAGGGAGGACGACAAATTCAGACTGGACCTCCTCATCCAGGCTGGGGTGGACGTGGTAGTCCTGGTCAGATTTTTAGCTGTACAACAACTGGCTGCATGTAGTGAAACTCCAAACTAGAGATATTTTACATACGGTGGTAATGTAAAAAATAACTTCTTGTTTTACCATTTTATCCTAAAAGGTTTGGCCTATAGTCAAACGTTCTGCTGAATTTTAATCCCTAAATTTCATCTGCGGTCTTTTTTAATTTGTCAGCTGTTCTAAAAATGGGTTTTGCTCATTTTCTGAAAAGTCACTTTCAGCCTCGTGCTGAAAATGAGGAAGTGAGTGCAAAACTAAATCTTGGGCGATGAAGAAAATTTAGTTTTTTATATTACTTGCAGTTTTAAAATGTATTTGTTTAGATGAAAAATAGGTCATACAGTATTTAGAAATTTGCTATAATAAAAAAATAGAGACCAGAAGGTTTTATACAAGTATATAATAAGAAAAATAGTTTTGATAACTGTTCATATGTGATTTTTTTTTTAACAAAATGTTTGCTATAACCCTGACCAGATTTAAATTACACACCAAACTCTTTTGAGTGCTGTTAGCCTAATAAATTGTTATATCAACTGTGAAATTTGCCATTTCAGTAAATATCTTTGTCTTAGATTCAAATGTCCAAAATTTTATTTATTATATATATATTTAAGTTTATAAAGTGAAATGAATATTATACTTATGAAAGTCACTAGAGCTGATTTTATTGTCATGACTCAAAGTTACTAAAAAACACTCAAATACTTGTTTTTTTATTTTATTTTATTTGGAACAAAAGTTACAATAGCTTTGTGCTTTTTTCCACTTTAGTTGACTCGTTTAATGCGTTACAGATGTGAACCTCTGCCTTAAGCTATTTCTAAATCAGTTGAATTGTTTTCAGGACTCTTCCCAGGGAAACTCAGTGTATCAAATCAACATGATAAACTACATGAAATCAAAGTATCCTGATCTACAAGTGGTGGGAGGAAATGGTCTGTCCGCCTTTTCTTACAAAAAGTTCTCACATTTATCTTGTGCGTTTATTTTAAATCCCATTTGATCATCGTCTTAGTCAACCAGCTGTTTTCCACGCCTCTGTCTCTCTCTAGTGGTGACAGCTGCACAGGCTAAAAACCTCATAGATGCTGGTGTGGATGCTCTGAGGGTCGGCATGGGCTGTGGCTCAATCTGCATCACTCAGGAAGGTACAAAACACAGTGCTGGATGCCAGCTTGCTCATTCTTGGATAGCCAACAATCCAGCTTTTGCATAAAGAAGCTGATGTTTCATTTTTGTCTCTTAGTGATGGCATGTGGACGGCCCCAGGGTACAGCTGTGTACAAGGTTGCAGAGTATGCCAGACGTTTCGGAGTCCCAGTCATTGCTGATGGAGGCATTCAGACTGTGGGACACGTGGTCAAAGCGCTCGCTCTGGGAGCATCGACAGGTAGAGAAGGGAATCTTCGATATTTGCTCTTTGTATTTGGATTATTCTGAATAAAAATGTGTCATTCTAGATAAAATCTCTTTCAACTACCCTTTAAGAACAAAACCTAGCTTAATTCCATCCCTATTCTTTCTTTCTTTTTTTTATTTTTGCACGTTTTGTTTCATTTGCAAACACCTAATGCATCTTTTAAAATAACTGTCTTCAGTGATGATGGGGTCTTTGCTAGCAGCGACCACTGAGGCTCCAGGAGAATATTTCTTTTCAGATGGTGTGCGCCTTAAAAAGTACAGAGGAATGGGCTCCTTGGATGCGATGGAGAAGAACAACAGTCAAAAGCGCTATTTTAGGTATAAGTATAGACACACAATTTTCCATCTCTTCAAAATCTGACATAAGCATAGTGAACTTCTGTAAAATGCTCCTCTCTTGTTCTACTTGGATTTATTTGTCCAGTGAGGGCGACAAGTTAAAGGTGGCTCAGGGAGTCTCAGGATCAGTACAAGATAAAGGCTCCATTCAAAAGTTTGTTCCTTACCTCATTGCTGGGATCCAACATGGCTGCCAGGACATCGGAGCCAAGAGCTTGTCCATCTTGAGGTTAGTTTGTCAATATGCTTACTATATTTTTTTAAATTACAGTATTATTATTGTAGGTACTTTAAGAAGTCTTTGTTGTTCTCAGGTCCATGATGTACTCAGGCGAGTTAAAGTTTGAGAAGAGAACCATGTCTGCACAGATGGAGGGGGGAGTTCATGGCCTCCACTCGTATGCGTGACCTTTTTACCTTCTGTGCCATAAGTCTCATTTCTCTCTTGTTCTTTTTTTTTACATTTTCCATTGCATGTAAATGTTATTAATCATTTAGTGAGGGCTGTTATCTCCTGCTTCCTCTCGCCTCTTTAGATAATTTGAGTAAAACAAATGTTTGTCACGTGTAAACTCATTTACTTATTATCCAGAGCATCAACACGCTTCTTATTTTTCTTTTCTCACGCATGCTTTCATATTAGATATTCTTTTGTGCCATGTGAGTACATTCATGCAGTCGTTGTCTCCATTCTTTCATTCATCTCCACTGAAGACCACTATTTTTGGGAGTTCATTGATTTGTAAGCATGTTTTTATTTTCTCCTATGTTCCAACTGCAGTTGCAAGAAGCGACTTTTCTGAAGCAGGAGGAGGAAGAGGAAACACACGATCCGGGCCTAATGTCCCATCCCCGGCTGCTACGAGCAGATGCAATGGACGCATGTGATCAGAACCAGAAAGTCATCATTACATCTAGGCATTTACATCAAATTAAATAGCAACTGAAGTACAGATGAATATTAGCATATGAAATGTTTATTCCCTTTTTTCCACTAGCAAAGACTTGAAAATGTGTATACTTTATTTTGCTGGGTCACTTCAATACGGAATATGTATTACTATTAATATAAAAATGTTCTGTTTATCTGATCTAGTGTACGACACAAAGTACAATAAAAGCTTTTTATTTTATTTTGCAGCACAAGGCTTACAAATTGAAAATATATAGAGAAGTCAAAATTACAATTAATTTTTGTAATGATAGCAGTAATTGTCATAGAACTGATCATTTATACCTACTGTATATCAGAGAGCTCTTTGCTGCACTGTTGCAGAAGAAACCAAAGTTTATCAACCAAAGTTCACACTTCTGAAACAAAGTGTTCATGAGGCAACAATGAACAATCTCAGTTTAAAATTATCTTAATTCCCTTTGTTAATAATCCATCCATCCATCCATTATCTTTACCCGCTTATTCCATTTTGGGTCACGGGGGTCACCAGTGCCCATATCCAGCTATTACTGTGTGAGAGGCAGGGGGACACCCAGTACAATTCTCCAGTCCATCACAGGGACACATAGAGACAAACAACCATTCACTCTCTCACTCATACCTAGGGACAATTTAGAGTTACCAATCAGTCTAACATGCATGTTTTTGGTCTGTGGGAGGAAACTGGAGCACCCGGAGAAAACCCACACATGATGCACGGAGAGAACATGCAAACTGCACCCAGAAAAACCCCAAGCCGGGATTTGATCCAGTGACTTTCTCGCTGAGATGCAACAGCTCTAACAACTTTGTTCTGCTTTTGTTAATAATAATAATAATACGTTTTATTTGAAGACTCCTTTCATGGCACTTAAGGACACGCACAATAAAATACAATATAAAATGCAGTAAAGACAAAAGAATAAAACAACAAATGAAAAATAACAACATAAACACAGAACAGAACTTAAATATATGTAGTGTGACAAGGAGGTGAAAGTGAGTAAGCCTGTTTAAAAAGTTTTGATTTGGGATTTGAAAATGGAGATTGAGGGAGAGAGTTTGATGTCCGGGGGGAGAGAGTTCTACAGGTGGGGTGCTGAGTGACTGAATGTTCTTGAGCCCATCGTGACCAGACGAGCAGGTGGTTGGGTGGAGGAGGAGGATCTGAGAGTGTAGTGGGTGAATGTGGAGAAGTTCTGTGAGATAATGAGGGGCGAGGCTGTTGAGGGCTTTGAAGGTGAGGAGCAGGGTTTTGTAAGAAATGCAATATTTAATGGGGCGCCATGCTTCAAGACAGGGTGGAAGGGGTTCTGGAAATGATGCAAGTGGTAGAGTTCTGGACCAGTTGGAGTTTATGGATGGATTTTGTAGGTAGACCTAAAAAGAAGAGTTACGGTAGACAGGATGTGACCAAAGAGTGAACAAAGTGATTGGGATGGATGGAGACGGGTGATGTTATGGATATGGGACTTAAAATGATAATGTGCTGTCTAGGATGACAGCCAGACTGTTAACCCGGGGACAGGTAAACTGTTTTTGCAAAGGTGGATTTACATGTGGTGCCAATGTGAAGTTCTGTTTTGTCCTTGTTTAGTTTGAGGAATTTGCTGGTGAACCAGGATCTGATCATCATCATAAAGGCAGTCAAAGAGTGAGGTGAGCGAGTGGAGGTAGGGGTGGTGGGCAGATAGAGGTGGGTGTTATCCACGTAACAGTGGAATTGGATTTTATGTTTTCAAAACATATTGCCAAGTGGAAGAAAATAAATGATAAAATGGAAAGGCTGAGGACAGAAACTTGTGGAACACCAAAACAGAGAGCGGATGGATGAGAGGTACAAGACTTTAACTGAATAAACTGTGTGCGGTTAGAAAGTTAAGGGATGTGTTTGAAATATCAATACATGAAAGTCTGAAAAACTGTCAACACTGTGTTGATGTGTTCGGTGTAAAAAGAAAACACTGAAAAAAACGTGTCAGTGTACATTATTCATCAATTTATTTAGCTAAATATCATTATTACCATAATAAACATATAAATATTCAGGTGGTCATCTGTCTTTTTAGCTTCATACCTTGACATAAATACAAAGTCACATGAATAGGATTAATAAATCTTAAAAAGGTTTTTATTTGAAAAAAGTGATCAACTTTAAATATGTCTTAGGATTGTCAACATGAAGCTAATTTAGATTTCACCTATTAGAACCAGCTTTGTTCTTTAAATCTTGAAAATAACACTTGTGAATCTGTAGAAGTTAAACAACTTAGTTTTGCATTATTTTTTTGTCAAGTTCGATTCATTAAGTTCTGTGTCTGTATGACAAATTTGGCTAGGTTCTGTTAGTAAAAACACACTTTTCATGATTATCTTTTCGCTCCAATCATTTAAATAAAATGTAAATAGCACAGAGAAAAATATTTTTATGAAAAGAGTCGGACATTGTTTTAAATTTGTATTGTACAGTATTTCTAGAAATAAAAAACATGGACGTTTTTGTTTTTGGATTTTGGTGGACTTATTTTTTCTGAAAGCTTCTAGTCAATATTTGGGTTAAGATGTAAGTTTGATCATGCACTGTTTAAATGTGATGGTATTTCAATAAAAAAAATAAATAGAAGATGAATTGGATCAATGCATGGTACTGATCCAATTTTCTTAAATTATAATCTTAGCTTCGATAACAACAATAGTTATATGATGTCAAAATGTCTCATCATGCGAAAAATAAAACATAAAAACTAACTGGAGACAAAAACTAACTGGAGACAAGAACTGGTATTATTTTTTTCTCTTAATTTTAGTATTATAAAATAAAATGTTTGACAAACTACTAAATAAGCATGTTGGAAATAACAAAAGTTTTTCTTTATAACAATCTTGAAAAATATTTTTTACAATATAAACTGTCACTATGCCTATGGGATGTGGCACTAATACAAACAACTGTTAGTGAAAGTGCAGGTCAGTTGTAGAAAAAAACACCAAAGAACATTTAAACAACTTTAAGTCAATCTGAAAGGATGTTTTTAAAAAAGCAAGCAAATGAACAACAATTAGAAAAAACACAACATCAGTGGACTATCTATTCTGCACTAAAGCTTCTTCTCCATTTCTGGCATTGAAAGTGCGTAATATATGAAAAGAATTGTACATTTACAAAAAAAAAAAAAAAAACCTTTCAGAACTCAATGCATTATTGAATTACTGCCTGTTTAAAAAATGTCTTGGGCTGAATGGTATTTACTTATTTTATTTTTCAAAATGACAATCTAAAAAGTGGAATATGGTTGCAATAAATATTTACAGGCTGCCGTTTTGGACAATGTTTCAATAATAAAGAATTAATTACGATAGAAAAAAAAATCAGGAACATTTGTTTTTTTCAGGAAATAATTTTGCAAATAATATTTTAAATAATCAGAACAAATATTATTTCAAAAGTAAAGCCAGGAGTGTAAAATGTTTGTTGACCTCACTTTTTTGTTGCTTTAATATATAATATCCATCCATCCATTTTCTTTACCTGCTTATTCCATTTTGGGTCACGGGGGTCGCTGGTGCCCATGTCCAGCAATCACTGTGCGAGGGGCGGGGTACACCCTGGACGGGTCGCAAGTCCATCACAGGGCCAATATATAATATATTATATATTAATATAATAAATATATATATAATATATTTATAATATATTTATTTATTTATTTTCATTTAGAATTTTAAATTTTTAGGTAAACACTTTTTCAGTAACCTTAGTTGGAGTCTTCTATGAGCAAGTTTAATTTATAATCCCAACAGAAAATATATTCTTGGCTAACATTTTCTTCATTATTGTGACCAACAAATTATCACCAACAGTAAAGTCATATGCTATTAATCTTATCTTAAAGAACATTTTGAAATTAATTAGAACTATTCTGCAGTCTAAAATATATCCAAAAGAGATATCCAGCACAGTGAAATCTAATGTCTAGGTTTGAACCAGGAATCACAGGAATTAAGTGAAAAATGGCTAACCAGTATTTACAGAAAAATATTAGGTCATATTGTATTGCAAAATGTCCTTTCTTTAGATCTGCTGATATTTGTATATCTTCTCTATGATGTAATTCCTTCATTAAGTAGTCTGATCAAAATGAGCTTCTGAACATTTTAAAGCTTATTACAATTCAATTGTATCACTGCAAACACTCAGGGCATCAATTTGTCTGCACACATCAACAAACTCTGCTTGTGCAGCTGTATCCCATTCCAGCTGCTTGCTTTCACTTAGTTGTTTAGTCCCTGCTAATCGACCAGAGCCCCGACTCTTCTGGGAGGCCAGGCTCAGTGTTCGGTATCGCCTGTGATAAGACAAGTGGGTGATTGCTCTTGGCAAGTTGCTTGGTGCAAAGTTTTGCCCCCTGTTAGTCCAAGAATTTGAACGTAACTTTCCCATTTCTTTGGGATAACTGCACAAACCCTGAGTGGAGCCAGTAATGCTCCCCTTCCAGTCCTTTTGTTTTGGTGCTGCATGACTACAAGATGTCAAAATGCCACATGGCTGGGAAGCTCTGGAATTTGACAGAGCTTTTTCTTGATCCACTTTTCCACAAGAGGAGGTTCGGTAAATGTTATCTTCAGCTGAGCAGGGTCCTTGATTCAATCTACATTGGTTAAGAGAGCTCAGAGAAACACTTGAGGATCCATGGAACAATCTCTGTGGACCAAATATACTGTCAGAGAATAAAGAGTCGCTGAATAGAGCTTGGTCAATACTGCGAGACAAGTCTATAGGAGATGGAGGTCGCAGGTCACCGGTTGAGTCAGTCCCTGCATCTACACTCTCCAGAGATGATTGATGAGACTCATCTGTGTTTTTAGGTTTGTCCGGTGGTTGTAACGGTGTAAGTAGAGGAAAAGTACTTGGATTTTGGCTTAGCTTCTTGACATTGTTTAGTCCATTTATAGGAGGGTTTTCCACTGCACAAAGAGGAAGCACATCTGACTGTCTCTTGGTGACACCATCAAAGACCACTGGTTCTCCCTGCTTACTTTGGGTCCAGGACTCATGAGAGGAGAGAACAGGAGAATTAGTTCCATCTTGAGAAGTGACATTGAGCTCTCGTAAAGGGGAACTGCAGAATAGACGAGACCAAGATCCTGGTCTGGGGTTGGCTAAGGTCCTGATGGAGGAGCTGTTTTTACAGAAAACAGGATGTGAGCCAATAATAGACAAACCTAGACACACACCAATCTCACAGAATCTGCATCCTATCTGGTAACCCCACCAGGGCCAGGGCTGAAACCCATACCCTTTCACCCCCCCAAAACCAAGAACATGTAGTATCCCATAAAGTTGAAGACCTCCACATCCCAGCAAACATATTGAACTTCCTAGTCCAGCTCCTGCTGCCCTTTCCCAGTCCTCCACTTTGGAAAAGGGACAAAATGAAGGTCTTGTAACTTCAGGTGATCCTCCAGTCTCTCCACTGTCATTCAGCCTGTAAATATGTTTAGAGTTCACTAGTCTTAAGCAGTAGAAGATGAGGTAGGAGCATGACAGAAATATAGTGAAGCAGACAAACACACCCTGAGGGATTAGAAGGATCACATTAGGAAGATTGTGGAAAAGCTGAAGGAGGCCAACACACCCCAGAGAGATTAAAAAATAAAATGAACACATGCATAGTAAAATGCAAGGGTTGGGCAAAGCTGAAAATGAGGTAGAAATAGCAAGAGGAAGTGAGAGATGGTTGCGTGAGTTCAAGGAAAGAAGAAGGAAGGCTAGGGAAAAAGCTGATATCAAACATGGCAATGGCAGTTCAGAGAGCAGCTGAGTCACGAGAGGAGGGAGACGATCTTGAGAATTGTAAGCATCATAGACCAAATTGAAGGCCTGGATCCCAGCAAATGTCAGGATGAAAAAGTGCAACATTGTGAAATAGGGAAACCCAGGAGGACATCGAATGGGCAAGCCTAGCAGGCAGATTACAGAGATTAGGCCAAACAGACTGAAGACTGCTCCCAGACCGTAGATGTGGGCTTCCCATGCAAATCCCCATGTGCCAAGTGCAGAGTTCCAGTCTGAATACAGGGGGATGAGGAGGCCAGGGTTGAGTGTCAAAAAGGGACGAAGAGGCTCGCTGGATGTAAGATCATCTGGGTAAGTGGGAGTCCAGGTCTCATCTAATGTTTTGCAGGGTGTGGTGAACATGTCCATACTACCCCCTGGCAAAAATGTGCCACTGGTCTTGGAGGCATTCAGGCTGTCTGTCCTGGACTCATCTGTAAAGCAATCACATCAAGATATTGTCAGACATTTTCATATTTTTATTGTTTATGCCAGAAAGCAATGAAGTGCAAAATATTCAATAGGCAAGACAGTAAAATATTATAGCTTTTTAAACTAAACAGTAATCTAACTGTGGGGTCCTTCATGATGCAGGTGGCCCTCTTCCTGCATCTGGAGGTGTAGATGTCTGTGATGGTGGGGAGGATGACTCCACCATCATAAAAAAGCACAACCTCATTTTACTATGTGTCTTACAACGTACGCTTGATTACAAGCCTGAATAACAATTTTACCCATAAAATTCACAAAACAGTCCAAGCAATGTAAGCAAAACTCTGTTATAACTGCAATTGTTAGCTCTGAAAACTAGATCAAGATTGAACAGTCTCTCTATGAGAAGTTAATCTATAATAAAACAGAGTTGGCTTGCAACTGGGAAGCTCTAAGTGGGTCACACAGTGAGAAATGGGAGCAAGAACGAGTTGCATGCATGTGTGTTCATGTGAACGTGACTGAGAGAGAGAGAGAGATGTGTGTTGATTAGCCAGTATTGACCCGATTGCTGTTCATTTGGTGGTGTAGTTACAAGGTATGACCAAAATGGGTTATTTTATCTATTCAAATCTGTCAAGGCACTAAAACAAGTAGTCAGCTGTGATCGGATGGACAGTTAGAAATTTAAACCTCCTATTCTTGTAATAAAGGCATGTCAGAGTAAGTTTTATATGTAGCTATTTGAATGTTGGAGACCATCTTAGAAATAGAACGCAACCTATTTTTCAGCTCAATGTCAACAAACACTGAAACGAACATGGTCAAACACTATTTTAGTGTAATTCATCTTTTGACCCACATATTTTGATTGTATTCTGCCTTTTTACTCACCCGTATGGCTAACATGGATCCAGCTGACACACAAGAGCAGAAAGAAGGACAATTTCTAGCTCAGTCAAAGTCCACCTCCCTCTTTGTTTGTGGACACTACACTACTTTAACAAGTGAGTGTCACTGTGAGTGTATACAGTAAATATTAGCACGGGCGCACGTGTGCACCATGCTGTCCTCTATGCTTTGGAGGTGGGTTTTTGTTATAGACATCAATATGGATGAAATGTTTCAAGAGAGTGAAACGTTAGATAAGGAGCCTGCAACAGAAGGATTTAGAGGTGATGAGGACACGAGAGGAGTGTGTGATACAAACCACTTGGTGAATGTCAAACTACTTTATCACAAACACTGCAGTGACACATTTGTAAGTTCTTAAAGACAATGTGGGACACACATTTTACAGTTTATAAACGTGGATATAAATATCAAGTGTAAACTGTAACAAATGTGACATTTGGTATAAAGCATTATTCTCAACTCTAAATATGACTCTTACCTGTAGACGTCTCTTTGCTGACAATTCCTCTTTGTAAAGAATGATCTGTGACATCAACCGGTCTGTTTTGTTTTTCCTCTTTAGATACATTCATGCCTTTAGTCCAGTTGTTCGTACCTGCTGATGGAGAATAGTGCTCAGGGTTAAGTCCGGGGCCGTCTGACTCCAAAGAAGATGATTTCTGGTCAACTTTGTGTGGTGAAAGTGAGCCAGGCAGAAGAAACTGTAAATGGCTCTTTAACTTTTTGTGTAAAGTGGTGGATGTTGGTTCATTATCTTTGCTCTGAAGCAGAACAGATACAGTGCTGCTCTCGGCTGACAAAAAATGAAACGTTTGTTCTTGAGTAGGATTTGGTGGCACATGTCCTGATGAAGACCATGTTGTTTGCATAATGGAAGAATCCTCCGTCACACTCTTTGTGTGTTTTGATAGAAGTCCTCCTCCTTCGAGATATGAAAGAGGCGTCTCGGTGCTCTCCTCGCTGTATTCACCAAGCACACCTTGTCTGTCCGTATCCTCAGATGACATGATGGTCCAACTCAAAGGTTGACCCAGGAAGTTGATGTTCTCAGGTCCAGACATAGGCTTCCCATGTGCCATATTTGATCCCTGAGGTTTATATAAGGATTGTGTAAGAAACTTTGCTTCTCTGTCTGTGTCTTTTTGTGTCTCAATGGCATTTTCTCCAGTTGAAGCAACGACATGAAGTAATAAAGACAATACGAAAGGTTGAAGGAAGAAAATGGTCCAGAGGGATCCCATTTTGAGGGTCTGCAAACTCACCAGCAATATTGTTGCTCAATTGCATGAGGATTGAGTCACAAACTAATCTGTGGTTTTATTCGAGTCACACCTGGAGGAGAATGAAGGACACATCGAGTATTAAACACAATTAGTGCAAACATTCCACACTTAATGTACAATTTGAAAGCGTTTGCATTGAAGGAGATAAACTGGAGCATGTGGGAGGAATTTAAAAAAAGGAAATCATGAATAATTTTAGTAGGACGGAGGAAAATAATCTCCTGAATAATTTGCAGCAACACGCGAGTCTTGCGACATACTTTCACTCAAATTATAACGCAGAAATGTATTCATTTTTACTGACAGTGGCTGTCTTACCTTATCAGATGCCCTTTCTGCTGCAGCCTTTTTGAACATTTCATTTATTTAGGACTAGGTCTTTGTGCTGCCGGAGCTCCATGTCTGCAGTACCGATCTGCCCAGCACTTTGCATCTTTCCATTCTCACTGTGCTGTGCTCCTCTTCGCACCGTCAGACAGACAGCACACAGGACAGATCCCACCTCCTCTGGACAAGCCCCCACCGTTCCACATGCTGCTGCTGGACAATTTTAAAAGTGAGGCCGTTTCCTGCAGCATCACTACAAGTACTGCCTCCTAGATTTAGGCACAGAAATGCTGGAATGAGAAGAAAAACAAGAAAGAAGGATAAAAATAAAAAAAAGAGATCTGAGAGCATCCTTAGCTAACCAACATGCATCGTCTTCTCCACCATCCTGTGCATGCTGCAGATTAATACTCAGTACTGAGGATACTTTACAGCTGCTAGTTAAGGAAAATAAATAAATAAGCAAAACGTCACACACAGCTCTGTTGAGAATGTTTTATTTCAGCGGCATACATTCATAATACATGAGGGAGAATTCTTGTGTGTCTGTGCACTTAACACATTTCTAAAAATAAACATTTTCACAAAAATATTCTTTACTGGGAGTTTATTCATAGCAGAGAATAAAACCAACTTTCATTTAAACAAATTGCATGTGATCAATGACTTCAAAAGATTATTTCAATTGTGTAATTTTAACACAAAAAACCCCCCCCTTGGTTTTATGATACAGATCTGTCTTCTCGGGGATATTTATACTTATCTCTGCGTTATAGCTGTCAAATAAACATATTTAAATAAAAGAGGTATGTAACAGATCAAGAAGAAGAAAAACGTATATCTAAAGGTAAAATAACTCCTTATATTCAACATATTAGACTTCATTTAGACCCTCTCACGAACAAAAACGTAAAAAGCAAATATATGTTTTGAGTGAGTTATCACTTGCATACTTGCAGTAAAGTTTATCTAGTTGAAAATATGGTATAAACAAAGTTTGTTTTTATTTATTTATTTACTCAAAATTTGAGCCAATGTAAATAAAAAAGCATATTATTGTAACTCCACCCCCAAACAGACACACACACAAACAAATTTGATGGTGTGTGTCATCTTATTAAGTGTAAAGTGATCAGATTTGCTCATTGAGATGTGTTCATCCAGGGGGGGAAATCCACTAACCTCATGAGCTAATTTAATTCCACGGATACTTCTAAAATAGACTCTGATCCACATACCTTTGGAAGCATCTGGAAACAGTGACTCTGAAGTACTGACAGACACTGTATACGTTCTCTGTCTGCCTGATAAAAGACCTTCGTTGCAGTAAAGCCATTTAGCCAAATCCCACTAAATATACTTGTATTTAAAGAAAGAAATATGTAAACAAAGATCAAACTGTACAGATATCTGCTGAACATACAGAATTTGGACACGAATAAAAGTAATAAACTGGTCACCCTTCTTCATGCCAGCCATAAAATAAGCAGCACACCATTAAATAAACATTGTTCTACTTGTAAAATATGATGTCATTCACATGAATACATCTTAAGAGAGGCAAAATGAGATGATTCAGTCAGTGGAGATAGGAAGTTCCTCCACAGGGGTGTGATTAACCCGGTGTCTGACGACACAGGAAAGCATCAAGCCAGCCGTAACTAAAAGGACTGAGGAGGAACAATGACAGCCCAAACATATGAGCTCAGTGAGGGACACGGCCAAATTATTACCGCCTCACACTTTTCTGTCTGAATACGTTGAGCAACTTCTCTCTGTTTATACAAATCATTCTCCAACAACGTCAGCAGGGACTGAGTTCCAGCTGGGAGCGAGGACAGCCAGGACAAGGCACAAAAACAAAAGCTGCACAAGCAAACAGGAGGCCTAAAGAAAGTTCTGTCCCTGGAAGAGATGAAGATTGTGGGGTTAAGGTAAAATATTACAATGTAGGGGACACGATGTACCAATAAACAACTCTGTTTACAAAAACTGAAGTGCTTTATTAAACTAAATTAAGGTGCAACTAATAATTCTGTGTAAATAAAAGATTCCCATAGTTAATGAAAGTCTTTAGAATTAAAGTCCTCATGCTATGCCTTTTAATATTGTTTTAAATAATATTATGTTGAGAAAGGATGTAATAGTAATCATTTTGGTCAAACCCTAAAAATAATATTATCTTGTGCGATATCACAAGCAGACAGGCATCTGCAAACTTTGCTATAAAAAGAGTCACTTTGCCTCTTTGCTTGCTAATTCTGATGTCTGGAGCTGCAAAACCTGCTACAAGTGTGCACTGTCAACTGGTGGCCCATGGACCATATGTTTGTTGGAGATGGCTTTTCCGTCCAGTGGGGATGATATTATAAAACAAAAAAATGTTACACTATTATTAACATTTATTTATATTTTTTTACATTTTAATACAAAAGAAAAGACCAGATTCATGTAAAGAAAGAAAAAAGATATAACTTTTAACAATTTGATAAACATTAAAACACTGAACTCTGCAGGTCGATGTGAGTTCTCTAAATTGTTGAAGAATTAAGTGTCCTACTTAAAGCATAAAGGTAAAAACAATATAAAATGAGTTTGTTGGACATCCAGTTACACACACACAAAAAAAAAAAAAAAAAAAACTTTTGTTTAATTTGACTTTGTTTTTTGTGTTTTATTCTTCGTTTAATCAAATATTCCTTCTCAGCAGCTTGTCTTAAAGATGTTCAAAATTTTCTGTTGGTTTTGAGAGAAAGATCACGCTGAGAGACTAGAAGTTGACTTAAAGTGGCTAATAACCTAGCACGATTTTATTGCACCTTGTGTTTGTACTATCCTTCACATATTTGAAAATGACAGGAAATCTGCTACTAGCCATTTTCATTGTTGGCAATAATTTAAATAAACTTAAGTTTTATTTTAGTTTTGGTCAAAGCCTGAAAGAGCCGCTGCAGAGAGACCAGAGAGCCACATGTGGCCCTAGAGCTGCAAGTTGCAGACCCCTGATGTAGACTATGTGTTGTAAATGATTCTCAGGTACTATCACATCAAATGTTAGCTCAATATTTTTGATAAACCAACTTAGCCATTGCTATTTTTGTGTTGCCTAATTTAGATTAGCTGTGGTGGCCATCTTGATTTTGGCTGACTCCAAAGGTAAAGCAGTTGCTGATGTACACCATTTCATTATTTACTGAAATGTACATTACAATCAATCCAGTGGTACATGTGATGTTTTGCTAACAGACAAACAGTGTTGGCCCCAAAAGTTAACACTAAAGTTTTATGCAATGATTTCACACAATAAGTAACATTTAAAACATGTGTTGGGATTTAGTGATCATGTTTTTAGCACAATATCAGTAAAAATGGAATGAATTGTAGCCGTTTTTGTGTTTTCTAAAGTGAGTTGGCTGTGGATAGATAGATAGATAGATAGATAGATAGATAGATAGATAGATAGAT